TGACCATGTAACTAAGAGGGTTCAAAGAGAATTATGGAGCGAAAGGGAAAAAATTGAGAATGAGGAAGAATTTTCGAGGTCAAAAAGAGAGATGATGAAATATTAATAAAATTCTAGAATGTAAATAAAACTTTCTTTGGTTTTAGTCACTGAAGTTTATTTTAGTTTAAAAAAAATTAATTTAATCTGAGCAGATCTAGATCTGATCACAATTAAAGATCTGATTATATTTGATCAGAATCATAGCGGGTCAAAATGAGATCTTATTATACTTAATCAATATAAGAACTGGTCACTTATCATATTTGATCACTTTAAGATCTGATCATATTTCTTTATAAGAAAATCTAATCATATATGACCATACTCAGATCTGATCATAAACTAATCTGGTCATATATGATCACAATCAGATCTGATTATATATAAATATGATCTGATTATGACAATATATGATTCTATCTGATCTTTTCTGTTTATGATCAGATCTGATTGTGATCTGATCATAAATATAATCTTGATCTAATCATATATATACATATGAATAATGATCTAAATTATATTTATGATCACGATCTGATCATATTTATGATCTGCTTATATTTATGATCCCGATCTAATCATATTTATGATCATGATTTGATGATATTTATAACTAGACCATATTTATGATCTGATCATATTTATGATCATAATCTGATCATGTATATGATCATAATCTGATCATGTTTATGATCATGATCTGATCGTGTTTATGATCATGATCTGATCATATTTATGATCACGATCTGATCATATTTATGATCACGTTCTGATCATAGTTATGATCATGATCTGATTATATTTATGATCGTGATCTGATTATATTTATGATTATGATCTGATCATATTTATTACTTGATTATCCCTTATGTTAGCAACGGGGTACACGGGTACCCACAGTAGAAAGTATAGAAAATAAATCGAAAATGGTTTTTATAAACGCATGCAACTAAATTTTATTGAAAAAATAAAGAAATAATACATTTTTTATAATTAATGACATTAAATCTAACATTTTACACACTGCGTAAGATTAATTGAGTGCTCGTCACATACTGGCTGGTGACAATTGGCACAGCTCTTACGAGTCTTTCGCCGTCTTTTTATTGGTAAAGCATTGCATACATGACAAGATCCTGTTACTTTTTTTCTTCCGGTTTTATCTTTTGGAACTACTGGACCAGAATTTATCTCGGTTGTTTCTGATAGTGCATGACCTAAAATACTTTCAACAGCAATCTTTGTCGAGAAGTGACGGATTATTTGCGGATTCGCCGTGCGGTGTTCAATCATCGGCAATGATAGTTCTTCACTTAGCTTCCGCATAAATTGACGACGTTCTGTAGTTTTTTTAGCAATCATTTTATTATTTTCATAATAAATTAGATATGATGCAAGTGAAGAAACGTCTAGCATGTTGAAGAACAATGCCATTGGCCATCTCGAAGATCGTCGTTGACATGTGTACCTCCGAACCATTTGGTCCATTGTGTCAACGCCAGCTTTATATCTATTATAAAATTTTATAATTTCTGGTTTTCGATTAGCATCATCATCAACTGATGCATCTGAATGCATTGTAGATAACAGAATGACAGCTTTATTTTTCTTAGGAACATAAGAACACATAGTAACCTTTTCATGAAATCCAAAAACTGTCGAATACTGCTCCCGTGTCTTATTTGCTTTCATAACACTAGGGATGTAGGGCTTATTATTTTTTACTGTGCCAACAATTGTAAGTTTCCACGATAACAAATGTTTAGCAACGGGAAGAGTAGTAAAGAAGTTATCCATGCAAATGTTTCTACCACTACCTCGGTACGGAGCTGCCAATTCTTTCACTACTCTTTCACCATGATTTTTTTCCCGAGTACCATCTGTTTTACCAGTGTACAAAATCCCTTGCAAAGGATATGCGTTTTCCGCATCACAAATCCACCAGATCTTTATACCATACTTAGCTGGTTTCGATGGTATATATTGAGTGAATCCTGTACGACCACGGTACGGATAGAGCTGTTTATAAATTGTCAAATTTGCGGTTGGTTTGTACATCTGAGCTAAATTTGAATTAAATATTGTCCACACATCACGAATTGGAGCTGCTTTGTCTTCTTTTTTGCGTTGACTTCGGGTACTACTATCGTCGAATCTCAAAAAACGCAGAATACTATGGAATCTGTTTAATCCCATCGTGGCGCGATACAGCGGATAAGAATTGGAGTGCCACATATCAAAAGTATGGTCCGTATTTGAATTATTTGCGCCAGCACAAATCAAGATACCGAAGAATGAATAAAGTTCTGGTATCGTAACGGGCTTCCATTGATGCTGAAAGTCTGGATGGTCAGCATTATAATTTTGATAAGTAGCTTCAGCTTTCTTGTTAGTGTGACGGACGATTACATCAACCATTTCGTATGTGAAGATTTTTTTGAAAGTCTCGCTTATTGACAACATTTCCGTACTACGATGAGGCCCACTTCGCTGACGTACAACACTATGAGCTGCAGTCTGATGCTGAGACGGTGGAGTTTTGCTCCACTTTGTTTTATCCTTCGCAATAAAACTCCCAGATAGTTCTCGAGATCGTCCTAGAATAAATAACAATATATAATAACATAAATTAATTATTTGAGAACAAAAATATTATTATTTCAATCATTATTAGGAACAAATATTTTACTACCTTCAGGTTCAGAAGTTTCTACTTCGTCGTCGTCTTCCTCACTCTCACTATTCTCAACCTCTTCTTCTTCTTCTTCTTCTTCTTCTTTTAAATTTCTCTCAGAAATTTCTCCTATATCTCCAGAATCTTCTGGTTCATCATGCTCTGAATTATCTTCTTGACTTGAAATTTGACGTCTAGCTCTATTCACTGGAATCCAGTCTTCGTCATCACTGTCAGACGGCCCGCTCGAATCACTATCGTTTTCTCCAAGTAGTTTTTTCAAATATTCATTTTTTTCAGTTGCACTTAACCTAATGAATTAATTATTATATTATACAATTTCTTAATAATACTATTACACAAAATTATAATTAAAAAATTTACAATAAATGTTAAATATATGTAAACTTTACTTACTTAGAAAATTCAGCTCTCGATAGTTGTTCCATAACTTTATTTTTCACTATGAAGAGAACGCCATAAATAAAACACGTCTGATCCCACCAAAAATCTAATACGTACTAAAAAATACTCGACTCTTGCTCTAGATCGAATAAAAAGAAATAACCGTGAGTCTTTGTCTCTCTCCAACGGCATCTGTTTAGCGCCGACAAATAAAAGCGGATCGACTACCTGGAGTGCCTCAAACTGGTTTCATATGTCATTCACAACTACATTATTATTATTCTTATTATTATTTTATTTTTTTTTTATTATTGTCACTAACTATTTATATTTTAAGGAAAAAATGTTTAGAATTTTTTTTTTAACACAATAAAAAAAATTTCTAATATTTAGATCTGTGGTATGGAGGGTAGAGGTAAGGAGGACCATCTCTGTGTACGAAAAAGTGTCCGTAAAAACGCGTCCAGTAAGAGTGGCGCTGCAGTAGCAGTCGATAAATTTTAAAGAAAGCGCCAAACGTAATTAGAAAAAGATAGAGAAATAAACAAGGACCGAGCAATTTCCTCTTCCTCTTGGTGTACTTTTCAAACAAAATATATGATCGGAGCATACTCATATGATATATTATTATAAATTAACGCGTTATTTCACAAGTCATATTGAAATTTCCAATTATGCATGAAATCATAAAGACAATATAAATTAAAAATTAGAAAAGTATCGTTTTAAACAATTAAATTAACGAACGTGTTACCAAAAATATTTTTTTTTAATTAGTTATGAAAAAGTCAGAAATTTTCATGCCGTCAATTTGAAAGAGCTCCAAATAGAATACGTAATGACTTTAAATTATTAAAAATTTGTTTGTCAAAAATAAAATAACCAATTTTTTGGGATTTCATAAACAATAAGTTGTAAGGTAAAATGAATCAACAAACGGATTCAAAAAGAAATTCTACGAATATAATATATTATTAAATTAGATAAATAAACTAATACATTGAAGATCTTCAACAATAGTTATAGTTAAACATATTTTTTTAATAACAAGTTGTGTACTTATGATAGTAGTTTGGCATTTTTTCTATTTGCTTTGGTCTTAATTTTGGCAGCTTCGTAGCGTTTATTTTCAGATTCAGCCAAAAAATGAGATCTTATCACTACATAAAAATCAATAATTTTGATAGTTAATTCTTTTTCATGTTGAAAGCACCCTACTCTTTCTCCTCTTGATAATTCTCCTCTTCTAATAAAGCTTCCCAATGTTTTTTTTTTACTATATTCCATAAGGGGTCTATAACACCAATAACATTATTTATAATAATCTTCTGTGGCTTACAGGACATACCATTACTTTATATTGTACCTGGAATTCCTTCAATTTGTCATCTAAAGTTGATGTTCGGAAGCATTTTATTAAATGATTAAAATCCGAAATCATCCACAATCGCCGTGAGCTATCAAAAGGATGTTCACAGCTGATGTTTTTGTCGTCAATACCGAAAATTTTCCAAACCCCTCTATTCCACGATGCACCATCCATAACTACGGCATCAATACAGATTCCACTATTTTCCATCAGTACAATACACTCTAAAATAAGCTTATGCAGTGGTTCACTTTTGCAAGCATTCTTAGAAAGGAAGCAGCCTAAAGCTTGAACCCACCTTCCTCTGAACGGTACAAACTTAAAAACGACTAAGGCATGATCTGCTGTTTCATTTTTCAATTCTTCCGGGATGTGCTGCCCAAGATCTACATACATTAATTAATAAATACTTACGGTTAATGATAAATCCTCATTTAGACGTATATGATTTTTCGTTTTCTTGGCTGATGGATCCATTCGCAAAAATTCTAGTCCGTCTGGTTTATCTACACGCATCCAAAACTGCGGTAACATTGGACATTTCTGGATATCTCCTATACTCTCTATTGGTTTTACAGTTGTTTCGTTTTCTACGTGACTATTTAAACTGTCGTATGACTGCTGACTCAACAGAGACTTTTCCAAGTCCTGTTCTATTTGTTGACTGTAATTTGTAGCATTATGAGAAATATTTAGATCATCTAACAATTCCTGTTGCTCAATCCCGGGGAAAACGGTTTAGATCTGACCAGATATAATTATATCTGGTCAGATCTAATTATATCTGGTCAGATCTATTTATATCTGATCAGACATGGGATTGGAGACATAATCAGATCTAGTTATATCTGATCAGATCTAAACAGATATAACGATATCTGGGTTGAAAAAAAAATCAGACAAAAAGATTTTATTATATCTGGCCAGATATAACTATATATTTGTTAACTATTAATAAATACTTATAAACTATTTTACTAAACATACTTTTCTCCAAAATAAATATTTATTGAATGTTAAAAAATATTTATTAGAATTTAATAAATTAAATAATTGTAATCGAATAAATTAATTTGTTAATAGTTAATAAATCTTCCCATCAGCGTATATTGATAATTAATAATTTGCAAATTTGATAAAAAACTTTGTTCATTACGCATCGATCATGGACACGATTCACATTAACTTGTACCCGGGAAAAACAGATTAGATCTGGCCAGATCT